AAAGAGGGGGAGGGCGGGAGGATATCCTTTTTAAGGTTGTAACTGATTTCCTTGGTCCTGTGTCTAGATACAGGCTTGAGGATTGCATCCACTGTGTAGGTGCACTTAGAGTAATTTGTGTACATTGAGAAAGTCTGTGAAGGTCAGTTCTGTCGTGGTTCGTGAATTTGGGAGCTATTTGAGGGGGTGAGACCTTAAATTGAATCTGGCTAAGAGTTTCCTCACTTGTGAGAATTAAAGCCTGAGAGAGGAAGCCATTCCATTACCTCAGGAGAGGGGTGTGTAGAGCTCCCAGAGTCCCCCACCCTTCCATCATCAGGGACTGACCCACCTGAAGAGTTGTATCCCGCCCTGCGTCAACCTATGAACCAGGAGGTCACTGTTCCATCGGTTCCCAGTCAGGGCACACAGTCCCGGGTTGCAGACTCAATCCCCAGTAGAGGGCATGCAGGAGGCGGCATTTGGATGATTCTCTCTCATCATTGATGTTTCTATCTCTCTCCACCTCTGAAATCAATAAAAATATATATTTTTTAAAAAGAGTTGTATCCCAACATGGGTTTATGGACTGCAAGCTTCCAAATGTGGGTTTTCTTCTGAACTGTGGGGAAGAAGGCAGTTTATCTTACCTGATTTGAAGATTTACATTTCTTTCTTTGGATACTCATAATATTGCATATTGAAGCTCTGTACTCTAGTGTTCCTGAGCAGTCTGTAATATTATTTTCTGGGTGAGTGTGTAAGATTTTTAGTTCTTGGGCTTTCAAAATGTAAGTTGATTGAGGGAGACATGGGAGTAAGGTAAGAAAATCTGAAACCAAACAAAATACGTTTCTTTTGGGCAAGAGAACCTTAAGATATGAGATGAGTGTCTTTGAGCTCTCAGGTAGATGTTACATTTTAAGTCAGTTTTCGTATGTGCATGTCCCTGGAGAGCTTTACATTTTAAATGCTGTAATACTGCTTAGGCAAAAGGAAAATGAAATCCTATTTTAATTAATAGAAGAAAAACAACTCAAAACTTACATAAATCTTTGAAAATCCTGATACATCTAATGGATTAGGCCCAAATAAAATTATGATATGCTTTGCCCTGGCCAGGCAGCTCACTTGGTTAGAGCATTGTCCAATAGCCAAGGTGGCAGATTCCATCCTAGTCAGGGCACATACAAGAATCAGTCAACCAATGCATGCACAAATAAATGGAACAAATCGATGTTTCTCTCTTTCTCTCTGCTTTCCTCTCTCTATAATCAATAAATAAAAATTGTTTAAAAGTATAATGTTTGCCCAGCCTATGTGGCTCAGTGGTTGAGAGTCGACCTATGAACCAGGAGGTCACGGTTCGATTCCCAGTGTGGGGTGTACAGGAGGCAGACAATCAATGGTTCTCACTTCCTCTTTAAAATCAATAAAAACATTGTTTAAGTATAATATGGCCCTAGCAGGTGTGGCTCAGTGGATAGAGCATCAGCCCGTGGACTGAAGGGTCCTGGGTTCAATTCCAGTCAAGGGCACATATCTTGGTTGCAGGTTCCCCAGCCTTGGTCTGGGTGCATGCAGGAGCCAGCCAATCAGTGTGTATGTCTCACATCGATGTTTCTGTCTCTCCCTCTCCCACTCTGTCTAAAAGTCAATAGAAAAATATCCTTGGATGAGGATTAACAACAACCAAAAGTCTAATATGCTTTTATACCTGCAATAATACCCCAGTGTGATATGTAAGGAGAAGCTATAATGCCTCTTGTTATTTTGGTTAGAAGAAGAGTTGAGATTTCTTTTTTTGTGTGTGTGTGGTTTAAACTTTTATAAACATTAGTGTTTAAAGGATTATATCTTAGAACTAGAGGCTCAGTGCATGAAATTTGTGCACTGGCAGGGAGGGGGCCTCAGCCCAGCCTGCGCCCTCTGGCAGTCCAGGAGCCCTCGGGGGTTGTCCAACTGTGGAGAGTGGGCCTAAACCAGCAGTTGGACATCTTTAGCATTGCCACAGAGGCAGGAGAGACTCCCACCACTGCCACTGCGCTCACCAGCCGCGAGCCCTGCTTCTGGCTGAGCAGTGCTCCCCCTGTGGGAGCTCGCTGACCAACAGGGGGCAACTCCTGCATTGACCGTCTGCCCCCTGGTGGTCAGTGTGCATCATAGCAACCAGTTGTTCAGCCGTTCAATTTGCATATTATCCTTTTATTAGTACAGATGGTTTTCTATGTTGAAAAGAAAAAATGGAATAAATTTTAAATTAAATTTTAAAAAGCAAAAGTAGTTTAAAATAAAGACTATTAAATAGGAAAATATTGTGTGTGTGTGTGTGTGTGTAACTCAGCTTATTTTAAAAAATAATGCATGCAATGGCTAGCAAAAGTCTATGTAAGATAAGGTTTAAAGTCAACTCACTGTTCGAACATCCTGGTCCCCTCCAGGCTCTTGTTTCAGCCATCCACAGTAACCAATGTTGAATTTCTTAAGCATCCTGTTAGTGTTTCTTTATAACAAGCAGTTGAACCCCATACTTTTTAATATTTGATTGCTCATGACTGATTCCCCCTCCCTCTGCCCTGCAGGCTCCCACCTGGACAAACTGATGAAAAGATCTGAGTGGTCTTTCCTCTAGAGATGGCAGGAAATTCAGATGACACAGGCTCCTGCGCTTGGACAAGGATTCTTGCCCTGGCCCCACCCCAACCCCAATGAACACCCAGACCAGGCTCCTTTCCTTGCTTCCATCTCAGAGCTGCTTAGAGGCCACCCTACCTGCCTGAGACCTCAATTATGTGATCATGGGGTTCTTCCTACCACGCGGGGGGAATGTGTGTGTATATGAGCCCACACACCAATATCATCAGTCCCAAGGGAGCCATCCCTCTGCAGGTGACTATAACAGTGGGTGCCACGAGCCACCCGGTGCATCTGTCTTCTCTCGCTCTGACCTGCTCTGCTGCCTGATGGCAGCCCTCACTGTGTGCAGCTGGAGAGAGTGCCGTGAGCTGTGCTAGCCCCTGTAGCATTGCTGAACCTACCAAGCTTTAATTTGATGTTCAGCCTACCAGAATTGGCAGTTTCAAGAACTCCAAGCCCTGGTCAGTGTGCCCCATTGCTTGGGCATCGTCCCAGGCACAGAAGGTGCTGGATCTATTCCCAGTCAGGGCACATGTGCAGATTTCGGGCTCAGTCCCAGGTAGGGGACATCCAGGAAGCAGCGGATGGATGATATTTCTCTCTCATCGACGTTTCTATCTCTCTAGCCCTCTCTTCCTCTCTCTCTCTGAAAATCAATACTTTAAAAAAAAAATCCAAGGCATTTGGAAACAGGAGTATGGGATCAAGGCCCTCCTTAACTTAATCCTGAGTCTTTTTTGGGATTTATCTATTAGAGTGAATCTGTGACAGAGGCTGGGTTGGCCCCAAAGTGTAGGGCACAGGTGGGAGAGGGGGTCTATACCCTGTGCAGGTGGTGGACCCATCGGGTGGTTGTTCCTAGAAGAGCAGTTATTTAAAGAGAGAAAAGGGGGGGGGAT